AAAAATTATAGTTGAAATTCTCCCGCCATTTCAAAGGCAGCCACGGCGTATTGTTGCTAGTGGTGACAGTTTGTACGATAGTAGACGATAGTCAGCATATCGTAGAAATCAAGTGTGTTCCTCTGCGTTTAAAATCTGTTTCAAAAAAATACAAATTTTAATTAGATATAAATTGTAAGTTTTAGGAAATCGAACCCCAGCGACGCAGCTTTGATGTCACCGCACATTTGTTCCGTCTAAGTGTGTGCCATCGATGTTTCACCAATCGCCGATAAAGCGTATCGATATAAAATCGGTCTCTTCGCATCTCTAGCTCCAAACACATGCGGTGCTGCGGAAAAGTGTATAAATTAAATTTGCCAATTTTGACGAATTGCTCGCAAAATTCCGTGTATACTAAAGTGGCCGCGAGTGCCAACAGCTAGTCGCAGACAACAGAATCCATACAGATGACGAGCGGACCGGGAACGACGACGGTGGAGGTGCAGCTGCCGCTCAAGGTCGCCCTACGGCGGGTCGAGCGTGTTGGCTTCGCATACTTTTCGCAGCGGCGCCAACATCTCGCGCCCGGCGGCGTGGAGCGGAGCGATAGCGACGAGAAGCTAGAGGGCGTCGGCGAGGTGGTGGAAATTAGCTACCTCAAGTTGTTGGATCCCAAGGAGTGGAAGGACCAGGATCATTACAGCGTTCTCGGCCTGGGCAAAATCAGGTGCGCACGTGTGACTAACTAATTCCATTGGCACTATTAACGGATCGTTATTCGGGTCTCATTCCTAGGTTTGAGGCCAGCGAAGATGATATTCGACGGGCATACCGACGCATGGTCCTGCTGCATCATCCCGACAAGCGGAAAGCCAAGGGCGAGGAGGTGATCCAGGATGATGACTACTTCACATGCATAACCAAAGCCTACGAGATACTTGGTATGTTTATTTTCGTTTTAACTGCCCTAATCGCTTTAGGATCTTTTTTTATAGATATATTAATGTAATTAAATGGATATCCCATCAAATAAGGGCCTTTTGTCATAAGAATAACCGTATTATATAACATTTTAAATCCTTTCTTAGGGCGTAAAATCTATTTCAAACCAATTAAAGTAATGCATGTCACTATTACACGTTGCACCACTTTTATAATTAAACATATTAATTGCTTAGTATAAAGTAATTTATCTTATCATAACAAGAGGTTTCTTTTAAACTTGTATTAATTTAATAATTAACTTTCACATATTAACCAAAGCATTTATAGATAAAACAAACAATTTATTGGCATTTATAAGGTTCTTTTTATTCAGATTTTCTTTGATTTTTTAAAGTTAAGAATTAATTTATTGTATGATTAAGGCATTGCATAACAAAAAAAAAGATTAATACAAATTGCTTTTAAACAAAGTTATTTGTATTTTCAATCTGTTAGAAATGTTCTGTAAATCCAAGCTCGATTTGTTATTAAACCCAAGCATAATTTCCAGGCACTTCCAAGGCGCGTCGCAGCTTTGACTCCGTAGATCCCGAGTTTGACGACTCCCTGCCGTCACAGAGCGATATCGATGGAGATTACTTCGGCGTATTCAACAAATTCTTTACCCTGAACGGACGCTGGAGCGAGGCTAAGGCGCCGGTACCAGCCTTCGGTGAAGTGGATGCCAAGCGCGAGGAAGTGGAGCGATTCTACAACTTCTGGTATGACTTCAAGTCCTGGCGCGAGTTCAGCTATTTGGACGAGGAGGACAAGGAGAAGGGGCAAGATAGAGACGAACGCCGGTGGATCGAGAAAGAGAACAAGGCGGCGCGGATTAAGCGCAAGAAGGAGGAGATGACCCGCATCCGGTCGTTAGTCGATTTGGCCTATAACAACGACAAGCGCATCGCCCGCTTCAAACAAGAGGAGAAGGATCGCAAAGCTGCAGCCAAGCGAGCTAAGATGGACGCCGCCCAGGCCCAAAAGGCGGAGCAGGATCGAGCTGTTCGGGAAGCTGCATTGGCTAAGGAGCGGGCCGAGAAAGCCGAGCAGAAGCGCATTGAACTGATCCGCATTGAACGCGAGCAGCAGAAGAAGCTGCTCAAGAAGGAGCGCAAAACACTGCGTGACAAAGTCAAGGACTGCAAGTACTATGCCAAGAACGACAAGGATCAACTAAAGCACATGGAGGGAACCGAGAAGATATGCGAGACATTCAGCCTGGCCGAGCTGCAGACATTAAACAAAGCCATGGAGACAAAAGGCCGCGAATCCTTTGTGGCCGCCCTGCAAACGGCAGAGCAGAAAATAGCCGCCGAGCTGGAGGAGATTAACCAGACCCAGGCAAAGAAGCTGGCAAACGCCAGCACGCCGAAGTGTGGCGTCAAAGAGGTGAAGAAGGGTGAACTCTGGAGTAATGAGAACGTGCAGCTGCTCATTAAAGCAGTCAATCTGTTCCCTGCGGGTACTGCCCAGCGCTGGGATGTCATAGCCACGTTCATCAACCAACACAGTCCCGCCGGCAATGGCGGAAGCAGTGTCCTGGTCAACGCGAGGGATGTGCTGAACAAGGCCAAGGCTCTTCAAAACAGTGATCACTCGAAGAGCAGCCTAAAGACCCAAGCCAATGATGCCGCCTTTGCCAGCTTCGAAAAGTCAAAGAAAGAAGCACAGACCTCGAACGATATAACCCTGGGCGAGGAAACTCCCGCCCAGGCGAGCAAGGAAAACCTTAAACAGAACGGAGTAGATCATAAGATTAACAACAATCAGCAAATTAAGCAGAATGGCACGGGATCAGCGGCTCCCACTACAAATGGAACGACTGGCGGTAGCGGCGGTGGTTCCAAAACGTGGACTAAGGAGGAGCAAGCCCTACTGGAGCAGGCCATCAAAACCTATCCGACGACAACGCCCGATCGCTGGGATTGCATTGCTTCGTGCATACCAAATCGCAGTAAAAAGGATTGTTTGCGGCGCGTCAAAGAGCTAGTCGAGCTGGTCAACTCCAAGAAGGAGGCGCAGGCGGCGGTCAAATGAGTGGAGCCTGCTCTGTCCATACCCCGTTCCGATCCCCTGCTGCCATTCGTCCTCCTCCATCATCCTCTACTAGCTGCTGTGTCCCATATAAATTTTATTTAAATAAAACATAAAAAGTTTTTGAACGTTTAGCGAAAAGTTACATCCAAAGTTTTTCCATTTCTGACTAGCTATCAAGGTATAAATACATATAATTCGTAAAGGAGGAGTTGGAGGGTGTTCCACTTTATGTCTGCTCGGCCACGCTGCGTCCGCCGCTCATTTTCAGATCGAAGGCTTGGGGATTGGCTAAGGGATCTAGATCAGCAAACAGATCCAGCCAAGGGTTATTGGCGGCCTGGGATTTGCTAGGTATAGCAGCCGTGGCTGCTGCTCCTCCACTGGGCATGGCCGTGCTGCTTGGCAACGGCAGCGGTTGACTTTGGTGATTGAACATACGGGCCCAGAACTTGTTGTTGCTGGTGCTAGCGTTTTGGGCTGGCTCGGTCTCCTCCAGTGAGGCATCGAGCAGCAGACTGTCCTCCAGATGAAGTTTCGAGAGCTCAATCAGCAAGGATTCATTGTCGCCGTAGGCAGTGGCAGGTTCGCTAGTCTTCGCCTCGCTAGAATCCTTCGCATCTAAATGGGTGTCCTCCTTCGGCTGCTTATCCTGGTACTCGTTCTGAAAGATATCCAGGCATTTACATTGAGTCAGAAAAGCGAAATAAATATTACCGCAAAAAACAGGGATTGATCCTTGTCCACTGCCTCGATAGGTGGCGGCACTTCGTCGCTGGCTACACCTTCATTCTGGGAAAGCTCCTTCAGCACACAAAAATCGTATTTCGGTTTCAAAATCAATGCCTTGGATATGGTCTGGAATGTGGAGGCTGCCTTTTCGGCAAAGCTCTTAAGCTCGGCCACATAGGCCACCAAAGCGTGAGAATACATGTTGCAGCGTGCGGCGGCCAGTAAATCAATCTGTCCAAATGTGGATATCAAGGTTAATACAAAGTTATAGAACATCAGATTAATATATTTTATAATAGACCTTCTCTCACCTTCTGAATAGAGTCCAGGGAGTAGCCATCGAAGTTATGCTTGGCCACACGGACATGCGTCTGTGCAGTGCGAAACTTGTCTAGTCCCTTTCCTGTGTCCGGATCTAGCTCTTGGCTGGCGGACTTCATCCAGGAGAGGGCAGCCCGGTATTCGGTGCGCTCTTTTTCCATCAACTGCAGCGTTTGCTCTGTGTCCTTGACGGCGCGACAGCGGAACACGTCCACCTCGTGCTGCAGACGCAGGAGCGGCACACGGACGCACATTCTCTGCTGGCCGGCGAAGGACACCGCTTTGGCCGTGTGAGCAATGCTGCCCCCCGTCGTCCTACTACGTTTGCCCGCCTCCTTGAGGAAACGTCCGAAGACGCACTCCTCCTGCGATAGGATGCACAGGCGCTCCTGGTACTGGTCGATGATTTTGCACAGGTTCAGGCTGGTGTCCGATATCGATTTGAACACCTCAATTTTGGCGTCCAGCTCGGCATCCGAGGAGATCACATGCTTGTCTTCCTTCGTACCCAGCTTGCGCTGCACGACTTTCTTGGTGATCCAGAACTGGTGCTGCACCTCTGACTTGAGCATATTTCCTGCCTTCTTCGTTTCACTTTTCAGCTGCTGCTTACTTTTCGCCACTTGCTGGCGCGGATTGGGGGTGGGCTGGAATGGGGGTGGTTCAGTTCCGTTCCGTTCTGTATCGTTATTTTCCTTGCCTGCCTATCGACATTCGATAACGTTTTGGAGTTTTTCAGCACTGCTCAACTGAGTTTGGTTTATTTTCAAGTTTTGAAACCAAACGTTAAGGTTCTAGTTTTTTGTTTAATGTAAATAGCTGCTGTTAGGAAAACATAGTGCAACTGCTCCTTATTTCAAATTTGTTTGGTTACAGAGTACAGAGCAAACTGCCAGTTAAAGTTAAACCAATACTTTATTCAAAATATTTAAGATATCCGCTGGTAATACAAAAATCAAGAATGAATGTTTCGATATAGTGACTTATTGTATAGAGAAATCTTATCAAATACCAACTGTGCGTTACTTTAGGCCAAACACTTCCATTAGCTCCGATAGTTGCACAGAGTCCGATTGCTTCAACTGCAACAACTTTCCGTAAGCAGAGATCAAGGGTCCGGGATTCGGAAGATATGGAATATATCTTGGTATAGCCTGAATATAATATGAATGTTAATTACAATTAGGCCACATCTTAGTAAACTTACCTCCAGCAAATAGGATCCAATATCAATTCCAGAATCATTAATCTTGTTATGAAATAACTGTTCAATTTCATAAACTTCTGAGAGCTCTGAAGATTGATTTACGAGAGTGTTTAGCAATATTCTTATATTATGCATCACTTTTGCCTTTTCAAAAGTTGAACCAGTTTGGTAAAAAAATGTTGAAGAATTTATGTAGCAAAATGATTTGTTTGTAAACATTAATGAAAGTGCACAACTATAAGTAATTGCAAGACCTTCATTTTCCACTGCTTTTATGCAACTAAATGTTGCAATATCAGAATATTGTTTTGTTTCGATGCCGAGCTTGTAGATTTTTCCACTGCTGCAAGTGATCGTTGAAATATTTTCGATCACTCTGACCAAATCCCATATAAACAGCCGGGTCAGCTTCCCCCCGTTTAGATATCCGTTCTCAACTGCTGGATGGTTTACGGATGTCTTGAGATTAACCGGCTGGTCAGCGTCACTACTGAAGACAAATACACGTTGGGGCTCTACTGCAAATGGCATCTTAAGCCGAAGAAAGGGATATTGCAATTTTGGCACTTCAGCTTTGATAAGCTGAGCTGGAAAAAAAATACATACATACATATGTAAGTTGCGAATTCATACAAACATATGTATATGCACATAAAGATGTATGTACATATGTACAAATGAATTAATTTATATAAAATGATTATAGGAAATTCGAAAGTTTCGTGATTTTCGCTGATAAGTATTTTTTATGCAAACACGCAAATTCCAAGGAATTGCGACTTACTTATTTCTTCCCAGTTGCTCACTGCTCCCTTGAAGATGGAATTAATCTTGATTAATTCTTGATCAATTTTTGCGGATATTTCAGCTGCATCCTGCGAGTATGTCTCGAATTTTGGCTTTGGAGCTTTTAATAGTTTTTCTGCCACAATTTTAATGGCCTCGTTGAATTTGAGGGACATGGCGAAATGTTTTCTCGTTCAGCGACTTCTTACGGGGAAATCCAAAGTTAAATGAAAATTTCGATCGGTGAAACTTAGAGATGGGTTTTCTATGGCTATGTTTACAATTGAATTGTTATCGAGATCTTGCTAACAGTGCCTTTTTATATCATACGATTTATGGAAATTCACAACTTCATATTTGAAGTAGAGTGAGTTGAAGGCGATATACATATATCCATATTTAAACAGGGTAAAAGGGCTCTGCCACAGATAAATAAATAATAAATAAATATAAAAAATACCAAAATTTTTGTTTTCTTTTATGATATTATATATTATGTTACTATCCATGTACTGAACTTTGAATAAAATATTGAAAATACATAAGTTACATTATTAGTTCCAGCTACTAATTTGTAGCAAAACAATCTCGATTTATTTTCAAAAGAAGAATGTGGTCTACTTATGTAGCTGAAACTTCAAATCTCAACGTTTGATTCAGTATATTTGCCATCATCAGTTATCGATAAGTGCCATGCAAGCGCGCCACCTGCAGGCTTGCACGGTATGTTTTGCAACTTTGGAATTTTAAGCTTCTTCGATACGGTCACCCTGGGTGCATTTCTCGCCCGCATTTCTCCGCCTGTTTTGTTTTCAAACGTCCAAACGGCTCCAGAACGCGTATTAGGCTTTTCCGTTCCTCTCCTTTCCTCGTCGAGCGAGGGCAATATTTACGCAAGTGCTTTTCCATCGTGCCGCGGCTTTTCATCATTTGTTTACGTTAACCAATCGTCTCTCGTTGTGTGTGTGAGAGCGTGCTTGGATCGGATCTGCAATCTGTATTTGTGGCCGTTAGCCGGTGGCTAAAGTTCGCGTTTAAAGTTTTGCGTTTATTTTATTGCTCAGAGTCCACAACCTGCGTGCGCCATTGAAAGCGACACAATTTTATATTTGCCAATTCGCTGGACAGGTAAGCAATATACATACGCCTGCTTATGTACGGGTTACAGTTACTTTCCGATGCTGCACACACACACGTTTGCGCTTACGCACTGACCAGAAGAAAGTGAACAAGTGTGTACAGTGTTTAGTAGTTTTCTTGGCACTAAAAACAACAATAAAAGGAAAAACAAAAACGGGTTGTGTGCAGTGAAGTTTTTGCCACCTGTCTGCGTGGGTGTGTGAGTGAGATCGAGCTTAATTAATTTTGGCTAGAAGATAATGCAATTTAAGACAGCAACAGAACAGTGCGGTTGTGTGGGCATATTTTATCGTTAATTTTACACACAACAAAAAATGAGTACTTTGCATAAATAAGATTATCTTAATAAAAGTTGACTGAAAAAATAATAAACAAAATGAAATATAAATATTAAATAGATAAGTAAATTAAAACCAATACCTAAAATTGTAAACCAATATAGACATAAGTCTAACAATTAGAAATGTCAAAAGTAATACCTATGTAACTAAAAATATCTATGTACATATACCTAGTGAAGTTTTATATCCTATTTTTTATTATACAACTAGAGGGTTTATTATATGTGTATTGCTGATTTCCTGCTCGGACATCAAAACTGTTATTAACTCGTTGTTCTTATTATTTTATATACTTTTTATTGTGAACAATACCTAAGTTGTTCTTGTAGGAAATTTGGTCCTCTGTGTTACTGAAGATTTAAGGCCTCTCATGCAATTAGATTCAATTGCGGCCAGTAATCACAAAAAGGCATACTCAAAAAAAAAAAAAAAAAAAACAGCTTCAACAATGAAAAAAAAAAACAAAAAAGACAGCTAAAAGAACTCGAAATTTAGAGAAAAAGGTCACGGCACTTGCTTGCGAAGCTTTAATGGCCCGCCTTGGGTTAAAAGCAAACAGCAACAATGCACCAACGGACGCTCTGTTAGCCCCGTCTCACTCACTCCCGCGCTGTCTGTCCCTCTCTAGTTTCATCTGCTATTAAAAAATAATAAAGATTTCCCTGCAGTTGCAGTGTTGGCTCCGCTCACAATAATCAATAATTATAATTATTGAAATCAGAACAGCGCCAAGCAGTCTGTCTATATCTTGAATCCGCCCTCTGCCCTCCATTGTGCCCTTTTCCCACTCACATTTACAGTTCGACTTCCTTAATAGTTAATCAAGTCGACTTGGTACTTAACAAATTTTTATAGAGATATATTAGCATTTAAGTACAGATTTCCAAAGCTTAAGTTCTTTTCTTAAAAAATAAAATATTATTAGATTTATTTCTCATTCAAAATATGCTATTTAAAAATTTGTAAATGGATTACATAAAATATATTGTCGTTGTCATTGATGTAAACATTGTTTTAAAGCCAGTTTAAACATTTTTAATGGATAAAATCTTAAAACACGGTCTTTCCATATAAAAGCTGAACTTGAATTTTTAACTAAGAAAAATTATGGTTTTTTAAATATTCATTTAAAATTTCATTGAACATTAAATTCGTTCACTTAGTTTGTAATATAATCTCTGATTTAATTTAAAGACGTTCCACTGTATCAAAGTTTTCTGTTTCAGTTTGCCTTTGCATATTTTCTCACAGTTGCCGCGATGCTGGAAAAATATGTGAAAATTTCTTGCAAATACCTGCATATATGTACATATATATGTATACATACATATTTTTGTTGCCTTTTTGCAAAATTTGTATCGAGTTACTTCGGTGGCTGCTCTCATTTGCATGCCAAGATACTCGTACTCAGTTGCTCTGGTTGCTGTTTTTCCAGTGATTATTTCTTGTGTCGCTGCCGCTTGGCGTTGCTGCAACTAAATTGGCCTTAATTGGTTGCCTTTTTGTTGCCAATTTTGTTGTTTCGCCGCTGCATTGGCTGTTTTTGTTGCCGCTGTGACCATATTTCTGTTGTCTTGTTGGTCTCTTATCGGTCGTTGCCGGCCGGCTGGAAGCACTTTTGGCCACTTTTGTCCACTTGGCAGAGTGCTGGCCACTTGTGGCATGCAGTCGAGTGTAATTTTATATTTGCTACCTTGTTGCGCTGCCCTTTTTGGCCGAGTCTAATTGCTGCTGAATTGGTTTTGTCCTGGGAAAGTTACTATAAAGATAATGATGGTGCACTCTGAAAATTTCTGTAAAATCAAACCTATTATATTTCATTGAATATAATGTTATACAAACATTTTTTAAATTATTTGTATTTGTTGAACAACTTTAAGCTGCATAGAATTTCAGACCAAAGAGATACAACTTTAAGGGCACAAGAAATACAGAAAGATTTTTCATATTTTTTCTACGGCTAGGGCATTCACCGTTCGAGGCGTTATATCGGTAATACGATATTTCCCAATTTTATTTGTTTTGCCTGTCTGCTCGCGATTTTTGTGTAGCTCTTTTTTTTTAATGTGGTTTGCATGGCTTATTTGATTTAATTAGCCAAGCAGCCAGGCAGGCAGCAGCAGCCGGTGAGCTGAGTTTTCATTATTGTTTGCAAATTGTGGGAAAAAATGCATTAGGCCCGGTGGCTGTGCTGCGTTTTATAGTCGCAAAAGTTTTTGGTGGCGATTATGCAATCGAAGCTCAGGAACCGGCCAATAAATCAAAATGCCATTCTCAAGACTCTGGCAACTGCTGCAAGTGCCACATGCATGTATACCTCCACCGGCACTGGGAGCAACAACAATGCACTGAGCAGGCCCAGTATTCAGAGCATGTCAATGTGGGCCTCCGGTAATGCTAACCCACCTCCATATCCATGTCCATGTCCCCCTGTTCCAGCAGCTCCTTTTTACCTTGTCGAAGGCCCACACATATTTCACAACAGTGGAAAATATTTCAATTCTTAACATTGAAATCATTACTGAAACATATATATAGGTTTATAAAGTTAAAAGATGTATTTATGATGCAATTTTTAACAACAATCGGTGTAAAAAATGATGTATCTTTAAATTTGGAATATCAATAGTTTGAACTTGGTTTTCTGTGTACGACATTTACCGTTCCGACAAGGTCTTACCGACCGGCCAGCTGCCAGTTGGTCTCGATCTCCCAGATTCTTGCCACTTGCTCCGAGTGCCTGCTGCCACATGTGCCACCCATTGCACAATCGTTGCAGAATCGCACAATGTGCGGCTGTCCCCGCTGTCAATAAGCCAGCCGAGCTAGTTTATTGAGTCGTTTGGGTCTCCGGTTGCCCGGCTCTCCGGCTCTCGGTTAACCCAACCAACCTGTCCACATGCCCACGCGTCGAGGCCAAGTGTTTGGGCCCGAAATGCATCCGAGTGGCCACTCATTTTGTCACACTATACGATAAATGTGCCTACACTATGTGCCGCATACCCAGCACTCTCGAAAGGGAAGTGTTCTGCCAGTGTCCAAGGTGTGAGAAACGGTGAAGGTATCAGTTAACCACTCCAAGTCTTGCAAATCACCAAAGAAAACACTCTGAACAGTCAAATATATGTCTATGCAAATCCTTTAAACAAATTGGAATGCATTAAAGTACCATTAACCGTACTTGTTTTTCTTTCGTTTATTTAAATTAAAACATTGAGGTGGTGGCATCTTAAGGATATTCATGCATGGTTTCGGGTTTTGACCGCAAGTCTCAAGAAATTGTCTGGTATTATTACAATAAATTCGGAGATTAGAGATTTTATTAAAATGTCATAGAGGAAGATTTCTTAGACAGCAGTTTTTTCAAGATTTGTTCTATTGGAAAAGCCTTTGAAATTGGACTCACTCTTGGGTAGTTCCATGGTCGAGTGCCAATGGTTAGCTGCCATTTCCTGTCAGCGTTCTGCTGATTAAATTGCAAATTAAATTCTAACTGCGGATGGGCGGAGTGTGTGGGGTCAAGAACCCATGGGCTGACCCACTTGCCGCCAGCAGAAGCAGAAACACCTCGTCCGGACTCGGATGCGCTTTAGAAGCCTCCTCCTACATGGAACACGTCGACTAGCAGCCTGATCGACTGACCCACAAAGAGCCTTTTGGCCGGAGGGGAAAATGGACTTAAATATAGCTATCAGCTCGGCTTTAAGTGGCAGTCGCTGCCGCCTGAGAAAATTTATTGAATCTCATTGAGCAGCTTTCTATACTTTCTCGCTCGCGCTCGGCCTAGGAAAAATGAAAATAAAAATTGTATATAAAAAATCGCAAGCGATTTGTTTATTGCGGAAGAAGTGAAAAGTGCGGCCGAATTGCCCCGTCTTAGTGGCGCGTGCAAATTAATTTGTCTTAGACATTTCAAAGGCATCTCACGGATGCGTATCTCGCGGTTTTTGTGGTCACTATTTACATTTCATGGCATATCGATATATGTGGTCATGTGGCCAGATATTCGATGAGTCTTCTTTTCCTTTCGGCCACAAAGTGCGTTTTAATTAACCCAAGTGGCGACCTGGCCAATTACTTTTGCCAGCTTCTGAGGCCCCGATCCTCGGAGTCGCATTCGCAGTCTGCGACTTCAATGGGGATTCGCAATGACTTTCACTTTCCCGTCGGTCTTAGATATTTGCTGAAGCTTGATGAAGGGGTTAAGGGGGTGTACTGTAACTGTATACTTGTACAGCGGAGGGTTAATGAGGATGCCACATTGCTGCACATTTCGTGCCGCTTCATTGTGATTATCTTGTTGAAAAGATTCAAACTGTGGCAGTCGCTTTCATGTAATTTATTTGTTTATTGTCTTGGCCAGGGCAAGGCCTTGGCTAACACCCGCACCTCGCACCCAATCCTCCCAAGCGTCGAACTCTACACCGATCCAGACAACCTAAGCCTTATATTATAATACTGAAGTTGACTTAATTAATAGAGCAATGATATTAAATAAAATATTATAATTTTATTAAATTGGATACCTTACCTCATATCATTGAAGAAAGAACTTTATAATATCATTTCATTCGAAACATAAAATTATACAAATTATTTGTATATTATTTACCCAACTCTGTAAACTCTTAAAACATTGTTTATCTTTGTTTTTTTTTTGTAACATTTTTGTTAACAACTTGATAGTGTTAGCTGTTAGCTGAAAACAGGTGAGGATCCCATGATCACGAGACCATCTTCGGAAATGTACAGGAGTCCGCTGCTGTTACACTTGCACTTGCCATTTGCTACTTGCACCGCTGCCGCTCGTTGCAGCTTCATGTTGCTGCCACTGTTTACCTATCGTCTCGTTTTGTGTGGAATTGTTCAGACTTTGTCCGTCCAACAGAGCCACAAAGAGTCTTTGAGTCCGCCAGTCCATCAGTCAGTTGAGTTGGCCCGCTTGTCGGTCCGTTAGCTCGTTAGAGCTGAAGATGAACAAGTTTTTCCTAGACTCATTTCTTCATGAAGCCAGGAAGCCAGCGATTTCTCATCTTTGTTGCCTCGGCTGCTCTGGTTGCCTGTTGCCGTTGTTGTTGATGTTGCAGTTAGTGCTTTCCCTTGCGGCGGCAACCGCCACCCGCAACCTCTGGCCCCTGGAAGAAAAACAAAAAAGAAAAACCACACACACACTCACAGCTCAGGCCTAATTAGCTCCACGGCATTAGCTTTTCTGGTACTTTGGAATCTCTGAATTGGTAAGATCCCTGCCATGCACTTCACTTGTTTGTTTCGCTTTCGTTCTCACATCCCGCCGCTAATGCTTTTCCGCGGCACTGAGCTCTTCCAACTCGCATTTTCGCATACCCATTTTTCACATCATCAAAAGAAAGTTCCTGGCGATATTGGGTCCTCAAATTTAACGCTAAGCCCGAGAGAGAGAGAGGGAAAGATAGACGAGAAGAGAAAAAGCCGTCGACGAATGAGATGAAAGAGTTAAGTGCATTTCCTGGAAATAACGTTTCCTCTGCCACAGCCAGCAGAAAAGCCAGTTGGCTTTTCCCAACTTTTCCGCACTTTGGCATCTCTCAACTTGTTTTGATTTTTTTTTACTCTAAAGTTAAGTGAATCGTGAAGTTCTAAGCATAAGCAAAGTTAAATGATTCTTCGATTTTATATGTTATGCCACCTCTTCGATTGTGATTTTATCCATTATCTAAATATTTTAAATAAATTACCACCCTTTACGAATGATACTATTATTTAAAATGTTTTTTATAAGCACTTGAAATTAATTAATGCTATAAAGCAAGAGACAATTTTACCAATTTATGATTAAGAGTACTTTAGGGTTTTAGCTGTTTCAGTAATTTATCTTGGTCTGTGAAAATAACTTTATTTAATGAAGCAGAAGGAATAAGAACGGAACGTTTTGTCTTTTAAAGATCGGGCTCAAAGGACAAAATCTATATCAATTTAAAACTAAACCCTACATTAATTTGTCCAAAGGCCATCATAAAAGCAAACTTGAACCTATTGAGAATACCAAATATGTGTTTCAATAATGACTGAACACTTTTATCATTCTTTCGATTTTGTAAACTTAAAATACTTTTATTTATTTTTTGTTTGTTGTGGCCATCTACAAAGCCATCTTCTGTTTGAATGCATTTGTCTCTCCACTTGGCTGCATCTTCCACCTTCTCCAGCCGGCGGTTGGTTGGTTGAGTCATGCGATATGCGAGAGAAACAGAAGAACGGGCCAGAGAACCCGATCCGTGGATCACTGGAGTTTGGCCAAGAGTCGAGTTCGAGTTGCGGAGCCAAACTCGATTTCAGTTGAAGCTTCGCAGCAAGTTTCTTTCCGTTTGTTTTCGTTGGCTGCGTTTTGGCCACATTCCCTGCTCGCTGGCCTGGTCGCTTCTCACATGATTAAGCCAGATTGCTTTCAGCTGGCAGCCTCCGAGTCGGAATCGGAATTGGAATCGGAATCGGAGGAGAAGATGGCAGTCTCCGCTGGATCTGCATGAGTTTCTGCCTCTCGGTTTCTGCACATGGTTTGCCTATTTATAGCTCGGCGCTTTGGACTTTGATCAGATCTTTGAGCCAATGACGCAGCTTCTTTTATCATACAGGAAGAGAAAATAAGGTGCCTCTTATCCCATTTTTATAGAGTTTTTCAATCATTTAATAATCGATCTAATCTATCGATCGTATGTTATTATAGAAACAATTCATTGAACAAGATATTGAATAATAAACCTTTCAAATAAACAAATATTGGGGTTTAACATGAAATATTTATTAATATTACTCAAGTTGTATTCTTTTGTAAATTGTTTTTGAAACTTTGTTTCCTTAGTTACTTTGGTACTTAATTATGTTACGCAACATTTGGAAAACCATAAACCAAAACCAATTTACAACTTTTGTTAAGCGCAAGATCTTCTTCAAAAATCATAAAAATCTATTGGGGTCACGGGTCACTTGTTGAGTTTGAATCTCTATTCCTTGGTTGTACTATATAACATTTGCATAAAGTTCAAGTGATATTTGTGAAAGCAAATTATTATTACTAAGATTTTAAACCAATAATGATAGTGTACAATTTGTTCGTGTGCAGCGATTTGTGCTACGATTTACATCATCCGCATTCAGCGGGGAATATGTTATGTGGATGCTCGAGTGGTGGAGTGGAGTTCAGGCCCTGAGAGGTCGTAGAAGTTGCCGTGGTCCATGGCGAAATCTTTAGCACACTTGAGCTGGATGCATTCTGGTGAGGAAGAGGAGGAGGAGGAGAAGCCCAGAGGCGGAGGCATCTTCTGGCCCGAGACCATTGCGAAATGCAAATATCAACAGATGAGCAAATCGTTTCGTTATTTCTTTGACAGCACAGCGCAAACGTTGCATCAAAGTGGGTAAACAAAGGCCTTAAATGTCGAAGGCGGAGATGATGGGTTTACCTTGGTGCCCCGCCGGGCGGAGATTCCGATTCCGAAGATTTTGCGGCGGCGGCTGATGAACGGTTGACTCAGTCGAGTGGACTTGGATTTGGCCAGCGAACGCTGGACTCTAATTCAATTGATGCTAATTGCAAATTGCATAATAATTCATTCATTCGGCCTCGGACTTCCGCATTGCAGAATCTGTGCTACAAATGCAAAAGTCCCTCTATGCTCTATGGTCTTTAATTAAAGCCAATGAAGAGTTGTTGGCCATTGCAAACAAAACACTTTGTGCACTCCGGTGGAGTGCCAAAGAGGCGTTTGCCTTACTTACAAGCACCGAGTGTGGATTACTCATACGCCCCATCGTCCAGGTGGAAACGCCTTCACCGGTGAATCAATGGCGACGCCCCAGCTTTTGTGGGCATTTTCCCTGCGTCATGGCTCGGAGTCACATGAGTCGGAAAATTGGCAAGGAGGCCTTGATTCTTCTCTTAACTGGGCTCTGAAGGTGAAGTTTTGCCTGATTGCGCTGATTGTGGGCCATTTAAAATTGAATTGAAAACGATATTACAGTTAATACAGCGTAGATTAATCATTTTACTTAAAATATTCTTTAATTAAATATAAAATTAAATTCAAACAAATAGAAGAAAAGCACATCTCACACAAGCATTTGCAATTTAAATTAAATTGTGAAAAGTGCACTTATTATTCGTGGACGAGTGTGTGCTGTCTTTTTGTTTTGTTTTTGTTTGGCATCCGTTTTTTCCCGGCTTGTTAATTTTCACTTTGTCCGGCCAGCGGAAAATCGCGGAGAAGGAGAATCGGAAAACCTTTTTCAAGTTCATGGCTAGAAGCGAACAACAAATACGAACAACGCCTGAGAGCTGCAATTTCTGAATTAGCCAAATTACTATTATTTGCCGCAGCCCAAGCACAGATACAAAGCCAAGCAAGCACACAAACACACACGTAGATAGACGCTCTCATAGATTTAAAACCAGACACGGATACACTGAAAGAAACACTACTTTAGAAGGTATTCCTAATGAGGGATTGAAGAATGTAACGATTTTTATATGTGTAATGTATAATGTGACAATTTGCTCTCAAGTTTTAAGAACCTTTCATTGGGTTGGGTAAATATTCTATAGTATTTTTCCTTTCAAACTAATATATTTGGTAGAAAACATTTTAAAATCTACAATTTCTATGCGTGATTTGAATATATTTATATTTCTATATAAGTTTTAAGAAGCTTTCATTGGGTTAGGTAAATATTCTAACGTATTCTTCTTTTAAAACTGTTGTTTTTGTTAGAAAACATTCACAAATTTACTATTTCTATGCGAGATTTAAATTTATTTTTATTTTTATATGAAATATGACTATTTGCTCTTAAGTTTTAAGAACCTTTTATTGGGTTAGGTAAATATTCTAACGTATTCTTCTTTTAAAACTGTTGTTTTTGTTAGAAAACATTTGAAAATCTACAATTTCTAAGCTTGATTTAAATATATTTCAGTGTACTGACACAGCCACAGCCTTGTCTGTCTGGCTTTTCGCCTTGGCTCTCAAATTTTTGGCCCTGCATTCGGCTGAATGATTTAATGTCCTTTTTGGCAGCCACACCCCGAAAATCTCACCCCCCCCCCCAAAAAAAAAAACGGAGCTCTGCAGTTGTGCAAAAATGTTGTTGTCTAGACTGCGGCAAATGAACTTTATTTGGTTTTCCCCTATTCTGTTCTTTATCCCTCTCTGTTTTCCCTATTTTTCTATTTCTCATTTTATTTTTCGGCGAAAAGTGAGTGTTTTTTGGCGGGGCTCCCTCGACCTTAGTGTCGGGCGGTAGCTTAAGGACCTTCCCCCAATTCAATTTATAATGCCGCGACATTTTGCACTTTGCTTTGGCTTCATGTTTGCGTGACTCCAACAAAAAGAAACAAAAAATTAGCCAAATGATAACATTTTTTTTTGTATGCTTTCCTTGTTTTTTTATTTTTATTACAATTTTAATTCAAAGCGGATTTTGGCATTACCTTGGCGGGGTCTTTGTTTCGCCTGGGGAAATGGAAATGGCAGGGACTCGGGACTCGGTGGGGTTCAATGGAGTTCAGTTTTGATATTTGCGTGTGTTTGGCCGCAAAAACTTTTCGAACCACGATGCGCATTGCCGATAAGGTCGCTCTCCCTCTCCCTCTCTCTGTGTGTCTCAAAATAAAAGGGTTTTGCATTGCATAACACCATCAATCTTTTGACCAGGCCAAAAGCACTGGCTCTCTGGGAGGATAGGCTCTGCCGCAGGCCATATATCATTCACAGTGCCTGAGTCGCTTAACAACATGCAACATGCTCAGAAATGGAAAACAGCAATTAAAGCCCGTGAATTGACAAGAAACTGCAGATTCAAGCAATATTTGGCGAACAATTGTAATCTCCCAGAGACAATTGCGGCTTTGTCTTTTTGCAAATTCAGGGTGAGGCTGCCGGCGAAATGTTGGCCAAAATTGTGGGGTACTTTTCTGCCATGATTTGCCATTATTTCTTTTAGATATGTAGTTAAAACTTCAATTTACATACGAAACCATGAAAAGGGAATGCAACGAACTGGAACCTTCAAAATAATTGTTTCTAAACTTTGAGTAAATTAACTTTAAAACAGCAACGAGGATTTAAGTAATTCTAAGGCACTTTTGTTTGGAAATCTATTTAAAAATATTTGTATACATATTAATTACATTTCATTTTGATCCTGATTAAATATATCTCTTATCGCTGATTAAAGGTGAAAGCTAAGCAAACTAAACGAAATAAAATATAAATTATAAATTGTGCACAAATTGCAATTAAGGTCAAGTTTGAGTTGTTTTAATTTTTATGAAAAAGCTGTTGCTTGACCTGCTTTAAGTGGGAATCCTCTCTTCTTCGTAAGCTCTCATTTACAATTACAGAAACGGAAACCGAAACACATTAATTTCGAGCAATTGAGCCACGTAATTAAGAGAGATGATGACGATGCTGCTGTAAGGTTAAGAGGAGTCGTCCAAACTTGCATCGCCAGCAAATGATTCTCGATTCTGCAACTTCCACATCCATTTCCACACAAAATCTGCAACTGCAACTGAGTTGCGAGTTCATAAATTTTTGCGGTTTGTCGAACCTTGGCAATAACGGTATACATATATATGTAAATATAGTGCAACATGCTGCGATTCTGCCATGTTTGCTTTTTGGATTGTTTTGTTTTATTTTTGCCCACTCAATGTTTGTGAATGAAATATTTGAATCGGCAGAAGCAAATGGTTATAAATCGTTCTGTGGCAGAAGGTCCCGGAGGGGATAAATGCGGTAAATCATGCGGCACGAAATCGTATTATAATTTTACAATGATTGAAATTTAAGAATAACATTCTACGGAACTTTTTAAAAATGTTTTTTAAATTATATTTGAAATAAAAGAATGACTTGGAAGCAGTTGATAGTTAAGAAATCGAATAGTAAGTGCATATTTTGAACATTTTAGAAATTATTGAAATGCTGTGCTTAAAAACATAAATTAAGCTTTATAAATACAAATTGTTTACTTAAGTTTCTTTAACAAGTAAATTAACTTACCATTAATCTTAGAACCCAAAGAGAACTGGGGATAATTAAAATTTGACACTAATTCCATATCTGTAGATAATCAAATCCGGAAGTTGAATTTCCATTAATTACCCTGGCCGTATCTAAAGTGTAAACTTCTTGCATAATTTCCATGGAAATGATAGACCAAACACAAAATTTCGTTTTCTTCAATCGTTTGGTTACATTCGCTGCCACAGAGCCACAAAGAGCAAGAGAAAAAAACGAGCAAAACAAACGAAATAAATAAGACGGCAATAAAACCGATAAAATACGAATAAAAAATGTAGAAAATAAATAAAATAAAATGCTTCGGGGGTCCCAGTACACTCTGTACCCTCTGTACACCGCCCTCTTCTCCTTTACCTTGGCCACGCCCACTCAGCGTTTTGGCGATTTAATCGAAATGCGCATAAATTTGTGGCCAGCACTGTGTGCTTTCTGCGGGCTTTCTGGCAAGTGAGACTTTTGTGGCGCCCACTGTCCATGTGGGTGGTCGCCGGCGGAAAAATTGGAGAAAAGATCATTTGCATCTTTCTATCTGGTTTTGAGACACTGAAAGAAATATTTTAATTGAAAAATGTATGAACATATTAATTGATTATAAAATGTCAAATTAAAAATGCTGGTATACCTTAAGATATATAAGGAAGTTTAAGGGCTTAAGTTTAAATGATGGAAGGTTCTTAACAATGAATTTTTCCTCAGCACAAAAAATATAACATTTCACATAGCAATGTAGTAAGAAAATATACATTGATCTTAAAATGGAAGTGGATATTACCTTTACTCCAAAATAACCTCTCCAAAGAATTATACAATTTAAAGTAATTATTTCCTGTGCATTTGTGTGTTTTTGGCATCGATTTCTAAAGCAAGAAAATTTGCATTTAATTGGGCAGATCTCAAAGCAAAAAAAAAATATGTTGAGGTGCGACTGAGTGTACATATATTCTGCTTTGGAGTGACAACCTCTGACCATTTTTCGTGGAGCCTGGGAAAACGCATCAGATGAGATTTGGCTGACATCAATCAGCCGGAGATCTTTGCATTTGTATGTTTTTCCTTTTGGAGTGATCGGGGGGGAGGGTTTGTTATTTTATCTGCGACACGATGACGTTTTCAAAATTGAAAAAGACAAAAAAACCCAAGCAAAACAAAACAAAACAAAAAATAAAAGCCGATGAGTGAAAGTACATTTTCGTATGTTGTGTGCTGCAGTCGATGTCATTTCATTTCGTTTCGGCCGTAATGTGTGTAAAGTTTGCAACCGTCGACAGACGACTTCTCATGGCTGTTTGTCTCCTCGTCTTTTGATTGTCTGGCGATAGCCAATTGAGATTTTCATTTGTCAGTCAAAACAGTCCGAGCCGCACAGAAGACACCGCAGAAGAAAGACGACGAAAGAGACGCGCGTCTGTCAATGGCACAGAAAGAGAGTTTAAATCTTTGGGGCCCGAGCATGATATGTACTTGTTACTTTGTTACTTGACTTTACCGTAGCCATTGCACTGAGACTGATTAGACTTTTTCCGATGTATCGGGGTTTCACTTTCGCTGATGCTGCTGGTAAAATACCTTGGTACCTCTTCTGCGTCATCGACAGATTTCCAATTCTTCAATCTTCGGCACGTGCCTTGCTCTTGGGAGTTCCTAAAACTCTTGGTCAGTTAATTGTGAGACGGAAATGCACTTGCCACATCACTCCCGCTGAGAATCTACAGGTGGAAATCATCCATTTTGTTAAAGACTACAAACATGTAGCATTTATTTGGATAAGAAATATAAATAGAGAAAGGCAAGGCAAGCCATACGTTTCTACGCTACGGAATACGTCAAACTTTAATCATTCATAATTTATTATTTTAAAATCTGGTTGTCACATCATTAACATGGAAACGCCAATAGAAACTATATCCGAAGAGGTGCTACTGGCCTGGGAAAAGATGTCCGCCAAGTGGAAAGAGGAAACCACCTGGCCCACTCTCGAAGAAACCACAAGTGCTTATGGCACGGCTGAACAAGATCATGAAAATGCTACCTTTTTAATACAGGACCTTGGGATACAGATTCAAGATCTGGAGAGTGAGCTGAATCGCCTCAAGAAAGAGCAGCCAAAGGATCAAAGTAAGATCCAGATGGAAACTATCCGTGACAAGATTGTAGGGAAACAAGCCGAAATTCTATCCTGCGAGGATAGACTCATTCTTATCGAACAAAAAGTGCAACGGCATCGTGAGATCTACCATCATCTCCTAACCGTCCGCAATCGAAAGATCCAAAAGGAACGATTCCCAGAGAAGGAATGGCCCGTAAGGCAAAGCCAGTGTGTGGGGCCTCCGGATGAACTGGATGAATCGGAAGATGAAGATGAATTTTTAAACCGATTTAAGCGAATTCGATGAACAGGATAGATAATTGAAAGATAATCATTATTTGGTGCAAACAGTTCTAAATAATTGAATAAGCATTGCTAAAATAAACTTTGAAAATAAATGTGATAAAATATTTTAAAATCCCAAGAAATGGATATCAGTTAAACTATGAAAAATTTTATACTTAGCTTACATTTAAAACAGGAATGGGTTTTTTGTTCTTGCTGGCTTCTACTGCCAAAATATTCTCAAGATACTAGGTATCAAATATGCCGCAATGTAATAGATGAATAGTTCTCATTACTTCAGTTCATATTGGTGGAGAGTTTTTTTTTGTTTTGTCTTTGCAATCCAGTAGTCAAGCTCCGTTGAACTCTTGTCTGAAGCGGTGACCTCAGTAAATTCGTTTTTAATGATTCCAGAGACTTGTCCTTCAAAAATTAATTACGCCCTTTACTTTACCACGAGCGATGGTGTACCTTACCTCAGTGAAGTTGGCTTCGAATGTTTGAACTTTACACTCGGCACATAAATCTCGGCTAGGCTCAGCTGAGCCGGCTAATTACGCGGGCAATCTTTTAATTATGGTCCAGCAATTTCGGAAAATGAAATGAAACAAAAGCGACCCACAAAAGATTTGTTAGTGTTTTCCCTCAACTCTTCTCCGGAGGTCTCTACTCTCATTACCAACGATTCTTGTCACTAATCACAGTGCTGAAGAACAAAATAAAAAGAGACACAAATGCTAACAACAAAAATAAAAATAAAACATCAACAAATGTAACTGGGTCAAGTTGTTGTTGCTGCTGCTGCTGCCGACGAAAAATACAAAATAATTGTGGAAAATCTCAAGATCTTTTTATCTGCGGTTTTATTTTGTTGTCTTTCGGTTTTGTTTATTTTTCGTTGGCTTAATGCGCCGGCGGTTGACGGCCGGCTGAAGCGGGGAAACTGTGGAACTGGGCCGAGTTTCAATCAAGTTTTCAGCCCGAAGCCGCCGGCCCACGCCCCCAGGTTCTCCCAGCCACCTAACGCACTTGAGAAGCGCAGAGAAAGGCTTGAGAACTTGGCGAGAATGGCCCAATTAGAGGGTATTAGACAATTAGAGGTAATCAGACTTTCTGGTAATTACCCTTTCAAAATTATTATAATGAATTCAGAGATTCAGGTAGGTGTTTCCGCTTTCGGCCACGATGATTGATCAGGATCCTATTTTTGTGAATCTTTCTTTCTCTTTTCTTTGTTCACATTTCTTTAATTTTGTATATATTTGCAGTCCAAAAATAAATTCAATTCAATTGACAATATGTGAAAGGTGTTTGCTGATTAAGTTACCTTACGTGGTAAAAATGAATATACAAATGATTAAATAATCGCATTACTATAAGCTTTAATGATATCTACCTCTGTTTATTGATTTATGTGATTAATTATTGTAATTATTTGCAGACAGATGAATGTTTGTTTCTGTCCAAAAGCCAATTTGCTTTTCATAACACAAAAACATTTTGGAAAAACAATCGAGAGATTAGCTATCAGACTCACTCCCCCTGTAATTAGCCGCCCGCAAAAAGAAACAACAAAAATAAGGATGAAAATGGCGAAAGGTGATTTCGTGCGATTTTTCCGACTGACATCCCAAGCGGGTCCATTGTCCAACTGGACGGGAGTCAATAAAAATTATTTCGCGAAAGTTGTCGCACAATATGGCCGCGCACAGAGTGTTTACTTCATTTTCATTAAGTTGTATTTTTAAGTTTTATTTTCTCCGACTTTTTATTAGATTGTAATGTTTAATGCTGCTGCTGCAGCTGCTCCAACTGGTGGCTTCAGTGGCCACTCGCCACATTTCGCAGCCATAATTCAACTAATTAAATGCACATGAAAAATTCAGCACTCAAAAAGGCAAACTTGACAAATGGTACCAAGTCTTGAGCTGAGCTTCGGATGGAATACCACAGCCAAAAACTTTGAATGAAACGCACTGCGAAATGTTTAAAATTGAAATGCACATCAAATGGAATCACTGAATTTTTCAACAGGTGAAAGAGATTGGAAATATTTTGAATTAGTCATGGGAAACCAAAGTCATGCAATGCAAGGCAAAATCAGATGGGTCAAGACTTTGGATTAAACTTATAATTTATATTATATTAAGTATAAATCTGTTTAATTCTTTGATTGCTACCTTAAATTAATTCCTAATGACACTCAAGTGATACTAAATGCTCACGTTAATAAACGTATTAACTTAGAGTCTAGCTTAAACTCCCCTAGGCTTTGATCGACGCTTGAACTTAAATTTCACCTGTGATGGATTTAGTTAGGCGATGAAGATTTCCCTCCTGCATTCACAGACCAAGTTAATTGTGAAACAATCTGGCCAATTACCTGATTATGGTCAAATCTCTGGATCTTCACCCGGCCACTTAATGGAATTAACCAGATTAGCCACGGGCCGGTGGTTCATATGTTTTCGATGCTTGTTAATGGCGGCCAAAAGACTTCGAATCCGAGAAATGGGTTTCCCAATCAATTAGCTCTGACCTCCAGCTGCCCTTCGGACCTGCGCTCGCCGCTGGAGTTTTCCCCATTTCCCCGCACTTTTCTTCCTCATCGATCACCCCGCCTATCCGATTGGGCAGCGATCGCCGACACGATATTGCCCTAGGTTTGGGCTACCGTTCCGAGTTCCGACTGGCCAGCGCCAAAAAAGAAAAAAGAAACAGAAAAAATAATAAAAATAAAGAAAGAAATGGTAAAGAAGAGGGAAAATAGGCAAAGAAAATCCCAAAAAAAAACGCAACCAGCAGCAGCCACAACTTGGGCGCAACTTTCACTAATTTTCAATGCGAGCAAACTTGATTTGTAAATTGCGGCAACAGGACGCACTCCGTTAATATTTCTCACCCATTCTCGGTGTCCCACCGCGCCCAATGCCCAATCAATTTGACAATTTTCCACTTTATTTTCCACACTAATTGGAATGGACACGCGGGACATTCAGCATTCTTTCCGCTTTTCCATTGCGTCGTATCACAATACCCTTCATGAAGCCAAGGAGTTTATTAATTTAAATACAAATTTAACTATCTATCCCATTTCTTTCAGATTGAAATAAAATAAGTTGACAATACAATTCAATACATTTCAAATAGAAACAGTAAAACGTTGCCTGACTTATTTAGAAAAACGAAACAAAGTAAATAAATAGAGCACTTCAAATATTAACTACTGTGTCTCTATACAGAGAAACATGTTCCCAATAAATTTACAACATCCCTGTTGATATATATGTAGATATCTGCTTCAGAAATATCAGTGTTAGGGTAATTAATGTTTCCATTCACTGAAAAACTCAGACTTGCAACTTCCTTTGCGGCCTTCCGCTACAGTTTATCGTTTTATTATGACACGCAAATGGCAAAATTAGCAAAGATATTTGAATTGGGAGCCAGAGTTGTTATAATTATAATATAAAACTCGGTGCACAGAAAACCCCATAATAGACGTGTCTCGTTGGCCAAATCTTGCGGCGTTTTATTTTCATTTAATTACGGCTGCTGTTTGGCTGTTGTGGCTGTTGCATTAATTGGCTTGTTTTGCTTAATAATGATTATTGGTTTTTATGACTCTTTGATTATGCGATGATGCATCGAAAAACTAGAGTTGCTTCAAGTGGGAAAGTCTTGGCTTTTCGTTCGGCCTCTTTTCTTCTCTCCTGGCTCTTGGCGAGGTGTTGAGCATTTTGTTGAAGTTGATGGCCTGTCAGTCAGTCAGGCAACTCAACTGCCGGACAGACAGTGTCGGTTGAAAACGCCGCACTCTTTTTTTCTGTATATGTATCTGCTTATGCCGGCCGCTGGTGTGCTGCTGTCTTAATTATGTAATGTGCGCTTTTGAAGACAATTTAAATGGTTCAGAGCCGTGGAAAACAAACAAACACGAACTTTGGTGGTGGCCCAGAAACGCCAGGAAGGCGGTCGTAAGCCAGTCCGACCGCTCAGATGCTCTGAAACGGCTTCTCTCGGAGAAATGGGTGTCATTATCCCAATTACCATTATAGTATTTAATTGTTTTGTGGTTTATTGGCGGGAAATGGTTTCTAGAAGCAAGTGATTTGTTGATTTAAAAAATATACAATAGAACACTACATTTTTATTAGATCAGTAAGGGGAAATGTATATTTAACCTAAATTTGTCCGATTAATTTAGGATTAGCTGG